TAGGGCTGTGTAGTTATCATAAGGACTTTGGTTTTTCTGAGTGACATGAGAAGCCATGGGAAGGTTTTGAACAAGGAGGTAACATGATTGGACCTGCATTTTAATGGTACCTCTTTAGATGCTGTTTTGTGAGGGGCAAGGGCAAAGGCAAGAAAATATAAGAGGGCAGGCATTTCAGTACTCACAGAGGTGATAGTGACAGGGACGAGAGGGCAGTTGGGAGGTAGTGCCTTGTCAGATTCTGGATGTTTTGTAAAGATCGGGGTGACAGGGTTTGCTGATGGATAAGGTGTGAAGCACGGTGACAGGAGGAGGGAGGGTGGGGCGTGTCATTCATTGAGATGGGGAGGCTGTGAAGGAGGAGGTTTGGGGGGAAGATCGGGAGTTTGGTTTTTAGAATCGTATTAGACATCCAAGTGAGTTATTGAATCAGGAGTTCAGGGATTAAGTCTGGACTGGAGATTCACTGAGAGTCATTGAGGGAAGAGATGGTATTTTAAACCAGAAGAGTGGATAAGCTCACCATAGTGGGGTGAATGTGGATGGTGAACATGCAGAAGAGGACCAAAGAACGAGCCTGGGGGCCCTCCAGTGTAGGGAGGGTGGGGAGGCAAGGAACAACCAACAAAAGAGCCCTCCAAGGAGTAGCCAGAAAACCCAGGAGAATATGGTGGCCTAGAAGCTGTGAGAACAGAGCCATCAAGGAAAGGGAGTATCTGCAATGTGAGTAGTCTTGGGAAGTAGAGTGAGATAAGGTCTTACTAGGCTTAGCTTAGCAAACTAGTAGTTTAAGAAAAAAAAAATTTTTTTTTTTAATGTTTATTTGAGAAAGAGAGAAAGAATGTGAGCAGGGGAGAGGCAGAGAGAGAAGGAGACACAGAATCCAAAGCAGGCTCCAGGCTTTGAGTGGTCAGCACAGAATCTGTTGTGGGACTTGAACTCACAAATCACGAGGTCATGACTTGAGCTGAGGTTGGACACTTAACCGACTGAGCCACCCAGGAGCCCCAGCAAACCTAGTAGTTTTTAGGTGACTTTGAGAAGATCAAATCTGGTATAGCCTGATCAGAACAAAATGAATACAGGGAGAAGAGGCTTTAGGACAGCAAATTTGAACAGCTCTGAGGACTTTGGCTTTGCACTGCGAGCCCTGTCCCTAGAAGAGGTGTTTGGGTGCAAAGAATTTTCCTTTTGTTTTGTTGTCAGTCTGGTCGGCTGCCCTGTCGTTCTAGTCCGGGTTACAGGTGGAACTGGTGCTGTGTGGGCTCACAGGCCTTGTCTTCTGTCAGAGAGGCCATTTCTCACCATGTGTGGTGGCTGCAGCAGCGAGGACTGTTGTTGAGAGACCCTGGAGTATGTTCCCGTCAAGTCCCAGTACAAAGGAATTATGAAATGAATTCTTGGGAAACAATTCATATTAGAGGATGTAGGGAATCTGTCGTATGGTATGGGAGGCATCGTGATGCCTCTGGGTCCTGAAATTGCTAGTCAGATATGGAAGTCAGCAGATACATAGCGTGATGGTTAAAATGATTTCAAACTGAGGGTTTGTTTTCGTTAACAAATATATAGTACTTACTATGTGTTAAGCATTGTCCCAAGTGTGTTGTAGATACCATCCGGTTTAATCCTCATGGCGATCTTGTGATACAGGTGCCACTGTTATCCCCATTTACCAGATGGAGAAACTGAGCAGAGCTATATGCCCAAGGCCACTCAGCGATGGATAGTGTCACCAGCACTCACCGTATGGTTGGCCTTCAGAGCCCACATGTGTAACACTGTACTCTCCAGCCAGTTTTGATTTATTTGGACTTTTTACTGGTTTTCTCTTTATTCTGTCTTTTGCTTTCACCCCCTCATTCTTCATTTCACCCCTTGATAAGAATGTAGACTAAAAGTAAGAAAAGGAAGGAGTCACATTAATCGGTTTTTCCACCCTTGAACTAGATAGGGTATTGATGTTTTTGGTGAAGAGTGATGTTCAGTATTTGTTGGGATTGTCAGTGAATTCTGCTATTTTCCCTTCTGGATTTGCAAGCATCATTGTTTGTTTGGCCATTTGTCTTGAGAGGTTACCTGCCTGATTAAAGAGAAAGCTTTCTGTTTTCAGCTTATTATATATCATCTACAGTCTGTAATCCTAGGTGGGGAGAACAGGACTCTGTAGGGTAGTGATGGTCACTAGCTTCAGGTTTGAATGTAACTTTGTCTGGAACGGTTATGGAAGGGTGAAATACAGGAGCTATGTAGTTTTGGCAGGTGTGGTGTTCGATAAGGGGAAAAAAACAATAAACTGTGAAATTGCTAAGTAGGATAAGAGAAGTTGTGGCACTTAGATGGAACAATGTGGGGGAATTGGTTAATGGCGGGAAGACAGTTTGGTGGCGAGGACCTGGGGAAGTTCCTTAGTGGTGAGACAGAGGGATCTGGTGGAAGATGAGAAGTTTGGGGACAGAGGAAATGAAACTGAAGAGCTGGGTAGTATGAGGTTTTTAGACTTGGAGATCCTGATTTCTTTGGATTGCAGAAGATATGGTTTTAGCCACAACTCTGTCATTTCCTACAAGGGTGATACAAAGCATATTATTAGCTCACTTTTTCCTTGTTAAATTTCATCATGTGAGGTGGATTAGATGATCTTTAAATTCTTTGCAAGTTATAAATCCAATGATCTTGTTATAACAATAAGTGACCAAAGTCAACACAGAATTCAGTGGGTTGACTGTGTATCAAAGCACAGTCTTTTTCCTTGAAAGCGTCTATCATAGTATCTCCTCAGGGAGGAAGATACATGTAAGAATTCAGTTGCCTAACGCAAGCGTCTCCCAAATAATAGCATCTCTGAAAAATCAGCAGTGGTAGCATCTATCATCACTGTAGTCACTGGTTCTATGTATGTGCAAATTAGTAGCTTACTACTTATTTCTGTGATGATTATCTGATTTAATCATTTGGACTTTTCTGCTTGCATTGATATATATGTTGTGGGAAAGATTAATATAAGATTGGAGTTTCTTTTCAATATACCCTCTTTTAAACATTACAAAGTCAGTCAATTAATATATATTAACTGTCTGTTGAACAGCATCTAAAAGGCAAAGAGTTGCATGAATTCAGTGAGCTGAATCTCATTTCAGAGAAGGAAGATGGGATGGACAGGTGGAGTTTGGGGACGGCTTCTCGGAGGGCTTGGGATGTGATCTGGAAGGATGGGTGGGATTTGAGTGGGCAAGGGATTTTAAGTAAGAGAAGTAACAAAATCAAAAGGACAATAGAAACATCTAAAGCTTGAGTAGTGCCACAAGGAAGGCCTGGTGGAACACTGATGCATGTTGTGGTACAACAGAAAATAGCTCAACCGTGAGTCAGGAAATTTAGTTGGCCATCCTCTTTGGAAGGAGAGAGGTAGACCAGATGACCTTTGTGTGTCTTTCCAGCTTTAATTTAGTATTTTGGTTGCATACAGAGCTGGTTAGGGAGCAGATTTTTTTCCTTGTTGAGGAATGTGATGATAGTGTGAATTTTAAATCTGTATATGGGTGGAAAGGCATCTAGGCATTGTGTGCCCATTTTAGCAGCCCGGAGGCAGAATGCTTGCTCATTTCAGGGTCATAATGTGTGATGAGCCCTTTACATGAAAGAAGTTGCTTATTGAATGTTCTCATGGAAAAGACATTGCGGACACATGATCCCTGCTTTCCACAGGGCACCAAGGCCTTGCCTAAGAGAGGGTCATGTATTTTGAAATCCTACTTGTTAACAAGGCTCATTGGCTGTGGCAACCAAACAAATGCA